CTTTCCCTCTGACCCGCCCCTGCTCACGCTCTGTCTCTCTGTCTCAAAAATAAAGAAACAAAAATAATTTTTAAAAAATCCCAGATTTACCAGATCACCAAGGGTGAGGTGAGGTTCATCTTTCAGGGAAGATCTAAATTTACCAAAGTAACACCTGCAGGCTAATCTTCATTTACAGTAATTGTCAAGGCAAAAGCAATTTTTTATCAGAATACCAATTAGTTCATTTACACAAGAGGTATAATTGACTTGCCCATTTTCTTCCCATGACCAAGGTGTGGTGAGAAGCTAGCCTGAGGAGTTGTGAATCAGAATCAGCAGTTGGTCATGAGATGGATTTGACAGGGTCTTGTGCCTCCATCCAAGTGGCCAATGTGCCTCCAGGGCTGGACAACCTGGCCTTGGGCTGGGTCCTCTGTTTTAGACATGGTCGGATTGTCCTGCCAGGACAGACTGTGTAATGTCCCTTTTCTGTGCCTTCCAATGAACACATTATTTGTATATCTTAGATGCACTCTTTATGTATTTTTATATAGCAAGCTTCCTCTGGCAGGCTCGGAACTGAACTACTGTCTCAGGGTTTTCTCAACCTTGGATACATGTTAGAAACACCGGAGGAGGGGGAGGGGGCGGATTTAAAAGCTGCTAATATCTGAGCCTCACCCTCAGAGATTCTGATTTTATTGGTTTGAGGGACAGCCTGGGTATGTGGAGTTTTACAAGTTCTGCCAATGATTTAATACACAGTCAAGGTCGAGAAACTTTGCTTTAAGGCAACTGTGCATATTTCTTCTCTGGTCCATTGAATGTTGATTTTGCTCTTACAGGGTCACTTACCATGGATCAGGTGCCAAATTCAACAATGCTTCTCAAGCATTACCTTGTTGAATTCTTTAACCAGGTCTGCCAGGCAGTGAAGAGCAGTGATACAGGAGAAAACAGTCAGATATAATTCCATGAAGACCTGGGTTCAGTCCCAGCCCCACAGCTTACTAGCCAGGTGACTTGGGGGCAAGTTACTTAATCCCTCTGAATCTTAGTTTTCTCATCTGTAAAATGGGAATAATAATATCTGCTTCTCAAGGTTGTTATGAAGCAACAGATGGAAATAAGCTCACCCGTGGTAGTCTCCACCATACTGGCTCCATTTCAATGGGAAAAACAGGAAAGACTGAGACATCACTTTCCTTGAGGGTCCTTAAGAGAGGGGGAATCTCCCCATCACATTCTGGCCTATAGACATAAGATTGCTGAGTATGAGAAACATGCCATGGACAGGTGTCTAGGATATAAGCCTCATAATCGATTTCCCTTCACAGATCTAGACATGGGGAGGAGGAATTCTACCAACCCTGCAGATACCTGCCACAGAGTCTGAGTGGAGCAAACATGGTCAGCCATTGGCCACAGGCCAAGTGTTGGAGTGGGGACATGAAGCAGGTGCCACTAAGAGGCCAGCTCACATGGGTAGTGTGTATGTGTGTGTGTGGCAGTGGTCAAGTTTCTTTTAGTAGGGTCTGTAGGTCCAAGGGTCACTGGGGGGGCCCACATCCCTGAAGTTCTCTCTCCCTCACTAGGTTCCCCCTACAATTTTGCTACTCTGACCCTTTAGATCTCTCTGGGCTATATTCCTCAGGGTCTGGTTGTTGGGTTTTGTTTTTTTTTTTCTTATGGCTGGAAGGGTATGTTCCCAGTAAGACCATCCAACTGGGCTGCCTCAAGCCTTTTCCTGAGAGTTCCCTGCGCACACACTCCTTTGGGGTGGCTGGAATTGTCCCCTCTGACCCAGTGGGGAGCCCCATCAGACACTCACCAGTTAGCAAGTAAGCCCCAGTAGCAGAGCTCCTCATGTTGACCTCAGCGTGGGGAGCACAGGTCCCCTCTCCCTATCCCTGCATGTGGAGAAGCAGAAGTAGAACAGCCAAGAGAAGCATCCCTGACTCCCTCCACCACATTTGCTTGGCGGTGAGTGAAGGGAAGCTGAGAGCATCTATACCCATCTTGGTCCAAATTTCTTCACACAAGAAGGTCAAAACAGGTTATTATCTGGGCTGAAAGGATAAAGAGACACTAAATCACTGAGCCTGGAAACAAATGGAAAGAAGCATCAGCAACTACCTTAACCAGCTCTGCCTTAACCCCTTCCCCATCTGAGCCCTTTTTACCACATCCTTCTGCTCTTCTTGAACTGAGATTGTGGCTCCTGATGGGGTTCTTGAACAAAAGGCTAAGAAAATTCTTGAAACGTCTTTGGTGCAAAAAGGTGATTTTATTAAAGCACAGGGACAGGACTTGCACGGGAAAAGGCCGCACAGGGGTTGTGAGGAGTGACTGATCATATACTTTTAAGTTGTGGGGGTTAAGGGTCCCGTAAGTCTCTGAAGAATTTGGAATCAAGGCTTTCAGGACCTTGAGGGGCTAGCTAGTGTTAAAGATAAGGTTACTTTTAGTCTGTAATGAAACAAAAGCATTAAAGCAGTAAGGCCACCATGATGCGTATTTCAGGTGTCTGTCAGTGGGCTGATAGGAGATTTCATTTATGTTGTTTCTCTTGCCTTTGTTTCCCTTATCAGCTCCCACGGTTTTTAGTCTTTGTATGGAGGCCCCTTTGCCAGAACTTAGTTCCTTTCCAGCTTACTTGGTTGAGAATGAGGGTGCAGGCAGTTCTTGAGCGAACCACAAGATTTCCATGGTGTCTGGGCCTGTCATTTCTCTCTGGTCACAAGCTGAGCTGGACCCAAATTTCTGTGCCCTCAATTACCCCCGTGCCACTGCCTGCGCTCCTCAAGGGCTAGGTCAGTGGCTTAGGCTTCCTGCTGGGGACGGAACCCCCTCTCCGCCTAACCCCACAACCCCCTTATCTAGAAAAGAGACTGAGAGAAGTGAGCAAGCTATAGAAGCAGAGGCGTGGACACCACATACCCCATGGGTTTCTCTGGTCTGGAGTCACCTGAGAAAGCTTGGTCTTTGAGCCCTACCTCTTCCCCATACTCCTGCCCCCACAGTATTTTCTGGAAAATGTTCCAGTTCTTATTTATGCCCACCCACAGTCCACTCCTCAGGAAGGCCAGTGGGGATGGGAGGTCCTGGAGGCTATTGCTGGACAAGGCCAGGCGGGTCCTCCCTGGGACACCCCTGGCTCATTGGCATGTGCTGCCCTGACCAGACAGCTGACGGCCAAGCTCCTGGTGCTTTCTGGTTCCTATCTTTGGTGACATTCTGGTCATTCATGCTGGCTGCTGCCCAGTAATAGAGGCCACTGTCATTCACACATCCTGGGAACAGATGGCCCTTCACCATTCTACCCACAAAACCCCTGCACTGCTGCTGTCACTTGACCATCCTGCCCCCTCTCAAAAGCAAATGCCACATGGTTGTGTATATGGCAAGAACTCAAAGGAACATTTTTGGCAGTGTAGACAGATGACAGGAGGAAATTTTTTATTCTGATAGTGAGAAGAGGGAGATAACAGGGGAAAGAAGCTGAAGTAGCCAGAGGAGAGGAAGGAGGAAGAGGGGGAACAAAGGGAGGAGAAGGAATGTGTTAGAACAAGGGACCATGAAGACAGAGAAGCGCCTTCCTAGGTTCTGGGATACAGGCCTAGAGGGGACCCTGCTCTGGTATTTGAGAGAGCAGCTGGTCCATAGAGGCCTCATCTTCAAATTCAAGATCCAAGGGCAGAGGAGGAGCTGGGGAGGCCCCAGCAAGCTTCTGAATGTACTTCCTGACACTGAGCCGTATGTTTAAAAACGGCCAATTTGTAAATTTCAGATAATGTATGTTTTAGCACAATTAAAAAAAAAAAAAGAAGAAGAAGATAAAGAAAGGGAAAATAATGGTATACCCGCTTTGGAAACCAGCCTGCGATTCCTCAAAAGGTTAGGCACAGGATTGCTGTATGACCCAGCAATTCCACGCTGAGGTATGTATGCACTGAAGAGAAATGAAAACATATGGCCACCTAAGAGCTTGTACACGAATGTTCACAGCAGCTTTTTAAAATAATCTTTTATTTATTTATTTTAATGTTTATTTATTTTCAAGAGAGAGAGACAGAACATGAACACGGGAGGGACAGAGAGGGAGGGAGACACAGAATTCAAAGCAGGCTCCAGGCTCTGAGCTGTCAGCACAGAGCAGGGCTCGAACTCACGAACTACAAGATCATAACCTGAGCTGAAGTTAGATACTTCACCGACTGAGCCACCCAGGCGCCCCCACAGCAGCTCTATCCATAAAGTGGAAACAACTGAAATGTCCATCAGTGGAAGAGCGGATGAACAAAATGTGGTCCATTCATGTAGTTCATTCATGACCCAGGCTACAACATGGATGTGCCTCAGAAGCGGGATGTTACGACATGGGCCTATTTATATGAAATGTCCGGATTATAAGCAAATCTATAGTGACAGAAAGACTAGTGTTTGCCTAGAACCAGGAAGGGATTGGAGGGAAATAGGGAGTGACTGGTAACAGGTCTGGGGTTTCTTTTTTGGATGATGAAAACTCTCTGCAATTGGCTAGGGGTGACAGTTACACACTTTGTAAATATACCCAAACCCACCCACTAACTTTTACATATTAACAGGGTGGATTGAATGGTATGTGAATTGTATCTTGTTAACAAAAACAAGATTAGGGGCACCTGGCTGGCTCAGTTGGTTAGAGCATGCAACTCTTGAACTTGGGGTTGTGAGTTCGAGCCCCACATTGGGGGCAGAGCCTACTTAAAGAACACAACAAAACAAAAAGATTAAAAAACTGTTAGAAGAAACATGAATCTTCTGGGAAAAGCTTGGCCATCAGTCTAGGCTTCACTGGCCATTCTCTCTGTAACAGGAACCCAGCAGGTCTGCGGCCAACAAAGCTAAGTTGTGTCTCTGCCCCTCCCCCACACTCAGGACATTCCCAGCAGGGAGGAGGTGTCAGAGAGGGCCATACAGAGGGGCCCTGGGGGAAGGAGAGGCAGGGAACTCAGGGGTGGAAGGAAGGAGAAGAGGGTGCCAGGCTGCCTGGCCCAGCGCCCACTGCTCCCCTCCCCACACACGCTGGCCCTGGGGCCCCTGGCCACATACCCCAACCCAAGGACCCCTCAGTTGTGAGAGAAGCCCCCGTGGGAGAAGGCAGGGAGGTCGGGGGCACAGGCTGCAGCCTGGGGAAGGCAGGCCAGGGGGTTGACCTCACAGGCCCCAGCATCCTGGTCCCCCCGGAAATAGACGGAATCAGGGGACTCGAAGGAAGGGTCCTGGTCAAAGAAGTTGTAGGGCCGGAGGAAGAAGCCCACACCGGTCCCCACAGTCACCGTGTTGGGAACGTCTTCTGCATGTGGGATGTGCAGGAAACCAGCTGTCACCCAGGCCACCAAGTCCTGCCAAGGGAGAAGAAAGAGGATCCTGAGGCCTGGCTTTGCTCAGAACATGCTTACCTTACGGATTCAGCTCACTAGCCCAGGAAAATTATGAAATCACAAAGCTTTCTTTCTTAGTGAGTTCTAAAGACCCTCAAAGAATCTGGCTCGGGAGAGAATGAAGTGGCTCATCCTTGTTTCCCTCACCTCCCTCTCGAGCCTCCCCCTCCTTCCTCTCAGCTGACCTGCCCTGCAATGGTCTCATTGTTGATGAAGTCACTGAAGTCCACAGTGGGAGTCCAAGGGTCATTCAGATTGTAGATGCTGGTGCTGCTGGGCTCCTCTTCCTTCCTTCGGGTCACGGCCAGCTGGTACCTACAGGAGATTTGGATTAGACCCACAAGTTCATTAACCTGTCCTACTGCCCAAAGCCACACTGGAGACGGAACACAAAGGGGAAGTGAGCACAAAGGGGAAGGTGTCACGGTGTCAAGCCTCTTTACTATTCTTTCTCCACTTGTTCTTTTTCTCTCTGTCCCATAGAGTTCCTAAGTGTGTCCAGTATCTTGTATCTCACTTATCACCTGACCTGTTGTTCAGACCTCAGATAGGAAGGTCATTCTCATGCATCTGTCCAGATCTGAGCCTGTGCCCTGGATGCATGTGTGCAGACGTGGCCGGATTCCCATCTGATGTCAATTTCAAGTATGTCACCTGCCTGGGTTTTAGAGCATATTCCCTCAGATCTGTGCTCTCCTTGTACCGGTTTTTCCTCCAACTTTTATTGCGAACATTTTTAACATACAGAAAAGTTCAAAGAATGGCACAGCGAACACCCATATACCCTTGACCTAGATCCCGCCTCAACATTTTATTCTATTTGAGTTAGCACATAACTCTCCATTGATCCCTCCATCCAGGAGGCTGCATTTTGAGTGCCACTAAGATTGTGGCTGCAGGAATGTGTGTGTGCATGTGTGATTGTGTATGTGCACGCACACCAGTGGGAGGTGGGGGAAAGTGGCTTCTCAGCAACATGGGGTCCTTCTTACAGTCCACGTCCTCCAGTGGCTGACACCCCACCACTCACCTTCCCCAGCTGAAGGCTCTCTCCATGGAACTGTTCTGGGGCAGCGGCTCCCCAGCAAAGCCGAGCATCTGGATGCGGTAGCCCCGCCGGTGACCCCACTTGTTGCTGTGGTTGCTGGCCAGGTACACGTAGCGGGGTGGGGTGCCTCCCAGGGGGAAGGCGGCCTGCTCCTCAGTCTCCAGCAGCTTGCGGGTCACCTGCATCCTCTGCATCTGGTGCTCGGGGCTCCAGGGTACCGCCGTGGGGACATAGGACATGTCCTCAGCCCAGACCCAGTTCTCCAGGCCTGCCGGGGTGGGGTGGAGGTGGGTGGGAGGGAGGGCTGGTCATGCAGCTGTCCTGTCCCGTCTGGATTGTGTCCCCTCCCCTCCACTCACTGCTTCAGAGTGGGGCCAAAGAGAAACCCAGAAGTGAGTGCGCCCTCTGCCTCCCTTCCTTCTCCCCAAGATATCCCCTATCCAGAGATTTGGAGAAGATCCTGCCTGATGTCATCTCTGGTAATAATCCCAGAGGCCTTGTGACTGGGCCTCCCCTGGCCTCCTTCCAAGGACCTGCAAGGGAGGATGCTTTCCCTGAGGTTGGAGCAGCCTGGCAGGCAATGTGCAGAAGTCAGATTCCTTCTGACCCAAGGAAAGGGTCTACGCCTCATGCGCCTCACATCTGAAGCCCTATAGCATCACTAGAACTGCCTTGTCGTGAAAACAAAAACAGCTGTACCTCACATTTACTACTCCCAAAGGAGCTCTGCACAGGCAGGGCCTTGATGCTTTACTTGGACTGCAACCTTATGAAAGAGGGACCACAACTGTCCCCATTGTACAGATGGGACAATTGAAGCTTAGAGACTTAAGTAGTGGACTCTAGTTTGTCACCAAGAACATGTGGTTAGTATCACGGTAGTGCTGGGGACCCGGGTCTTACTCCGGCTCCGCACCTGCCCACACAGCAGCACACAGAGGAAAGCAACATAGAATGGTCCCACCACACATGGACAGCAAAAATGCAGACCAGAGGGAAGGAAAATCAGACCCCAGGCCCAATGCTGCTGCTGGAGCTTGGGGCTATTTCATATCATTTGAAGCTTGGCAAGGAATTAAGAGCAGGGTCAAAGGCACAGTCTGTTCCCTGAACTCTGAGAATTTTGAATGATTTTATTAGAGTCTAAGTAGGTCCCATATTAGGAATCAACTTAAGTGATCTGAGGCCAAAGAGCAGTAAACCAAAACATGCCGAAACTCCCTCCATACCTTCCAAGGACCAGAAGACAGCAGAGACTGATTAAGCAAACTCTCAGTTTCCTTTTGTGGGTTCACTGCCCCTAGTCCACACCCCAGGGTTTCTACCCATAGGAGACAGTTAAAAGCCAAGAGTTCTTACTGGTACATCCACACAGTGGGCTCATGTGGACAACGACAACAGTGGCAACAATGGCTAATACTCCTCGCTGTGTCAGGCACCTGTCAAAGTGCTTGAAGAGACGTCATTGCTTAGGAGCAGAACTAAAGAGAGATGTGCGTATCAGGCAGAATACATACCTAGATTTTCTAGCTAAGTCCAATGAGCGAGCCTAAAAACAATGACATCCCAGTGATAATGAGCACTCCAGGCACCTGTCTTGGTTTCTAAATAGTATCTTCCAATTAGAAGGAAACAGAACACGTTGGAGAAGTGGTTGATTCCAGGGCTGGGGCAGGGAAAATACAAGATCAAATTCAAACAACTTGTGGGGTGCCTGGGTGGCTCAGTCAGTTAAGCATCTGACTCTTGATTTCAGCTCAGGTCATGATCTCATGGGTTGTAAGTGTGGAGCCTGCTTGGGATTCTCTCCCTCTGTCTCTATCCCTTCCCTGCTCACTTTTTATCTCTCTCTCTCCCAAAATAATAATAATAATAATAATAATAATAATAATAATAAATAATAATTAGCATTTAAAAAATTCTAACATTTTGCACCAGAAAGTAAAGAAGCACTCAAAAAAGGATGAAGTCACATCTAAAGGACACAGGAACCAATCTGAATTATCTCCCAATGGCCAAAATTAGAATAGTTCAAAGACCAAAATAAATAATAGTACTGGTTATAACTCTTAGACTAAAATAAATAACCATGAATCCATGCAGTTATGAATAATTACGTATATAAATAAATGTAGAATATGGGTAGCTCTTCCTTGTGGAGAATTCTAATTAATAAATGTATAAAGAATAAGGAAACAAATTTAAATGACCAGTAGGGAAACACTACAGTAATAACTGTTGCATTAAAAAAAATCCACCAGTAGATGCTAAACATTAGTGAGCAAGAACTTGAGAAGAAAAGAAATAGGATATTTGCATAGCATCAAAGTAATTGCACCAAGATATTTATTAACAGCAAATGGAAAAATATTAACTTTTACAATTGAGAAATCCAGAAGACACCATCCTAACCAAGTGCTTGAGGTCAACATCACTGGTTATAAGACATAGCAATGTCCTGTACCTCTTGATATGATGCACTGAGAAGGGCACAATGTCATTTCTGTGGTTTTCTTGTAAAAAAAAAAAAAAAAAGGCAATCTCAATGTAATAATGAGAAAATAACAGAGAAACCCAATTTGAAAGATATTATACAAAATAATGACCAATATTTTCCCTAGTGTCAAGGTCATGAAAGACAAGAAAAGCCTAAGAAACTGTCACAGATTGGAGGAAACTAAGGAGATAAGTCATCTAAATCAGTGCAAGATCCTGGATTAGATCCTGGAACAGAAAAAGAAAATTAGTAGAAGAACAAATGAAACTCTAATAAGGTCTGTAGTTTAGTTAATAGTATTGTAATAATATTAATTTCCCTTTTTGGTCGCCATATTGTGGTTATGTAAGATGTTAACATGAGGGGGAGCTGGGTGAAAAGTATATGGGAACTGAACAAAGTTTGCAAGTTTTCTTAAGTCTAAAATTATTTCAAAAGATAAAGTGTTTTGGGGGCACCTGGCTGGGTCTGTCCAAAGAGCATGTGACTCTTGATCTCAGGGTTGTGAGTTCGAGTCTCATGTTGGGTTTAGGGATTACTTGAATGAATGAATGAATGAATGAATGAATGAATAGATGTATAAGTTTTCTTTTTTAAAGAGAAAGTATTGGGGAGCCTGGGTGGCTCAGTCAGTTAAGTGTCCAACTTCAGCTCAGGTCATGATCTCACGGTTCATGGGTTCGAACCCCGCATAAGGCTCTGTACTGACAGCTGGCTCAGAGCCTGGAGCCTATTTCAGATTCTGTATCTCCCTCTCTCTCTGACCCTCCCCTCCTCTTGCTGTCTCTCTCTCTCTCTCTCAGAAATAAATAAAACATTTATAAAAATTTTTTAAATAAAATAAAAGAGAAAGTGTTTTAAAGTACTCATCATTAATCCTCAGTCTTACTAAGAATGCACTGTCATACCATTTTTACACTTGTGTAAACTGACGTATAGAGCAGTGAGGCATAAAAATGTTTCTATCACACATATTTGTCCAAGGTGCTGCACACACTCTCCATTCCGCCATTAGAATGTAAGCCTCTTAAGAGCAAGATGTTGTTTCTTTTGTTAAATTGCATTAATGCAGTGCTTGGCACAAATATGTATTCAGTAAACATTTGTTGCTTACATGAGTGATACGCTGTTATGTGAAAAAACAGATGTGGCAAAATATATTTACATTATGATCCAAATTTGGTAATAAGAAATTTAAATATTTATATCAGTACATCATATTTTTAGATACTATGCACTATAATAAATGTTGTAATTTATTAAATATTACAGATGCAACATTTAAAAATATTTGTTGCTTACATGAGTGTTATGCTGTTACATGAAAAAAACAGATGTGGCAAAATATATGTATAATCTGATTCAAATTTGGTAATAAAAATTTTATATCAGTATATCATATTTACAGATAGTATA